CCGTCACCCGCGCCGGCCGCGGCGGAGCCGTCGCGCGCGTGACTGCGCGCGCGGCGCACCAATCCCTGGATCATTGGTGGCCCCGCCGCTCTCGCGCGCGCCGCGCGTCGACAATTCATCGACGCGCGCGCGCGCGCGCGCCGGCGGGGCCCGCGCCAGGCGCACCGCGCGCGTCCCGCCGGCAGCGCCACTGCGCACTGAACGACAACCCCAGCCTTCACGGACCGCCGCTCCCCGGCGTCCAGCCGAGCCCCTCCCCTTGAGGCCCGAGGCCGCGGCGCCTCGCGCGCCTGCGCCTCGCCGCACCCTTCTCACCACCTTCCCCGCCACCGGCGCCCTCAGCCTCCCTCGCCGTGCCGCTGCGTGGCGCTGCGCCGGCCGCGCCCAGGCCCTGCTCTTCGCATTCCTCTGCCCTGGAGCCGCCATGCTCCCCTCCCAGACCATCCCTGTATCGTGCCCCACCGCCAACACCCCCCTCCCCTCCCAACCGCGCACAGCCGTTGTACCTTGGGCCGCCGGCGCCCCGCCCCCGGCGGCGCGAGCCCCGGGCGCGGGCGGCGCGGCCCCCATTGAGTGCCCCCTTTGCAGCGAGAGCTGCCGCGTGTCGATTTCATGCGCGGCGCCCCCCTGCGCGTCGCCCCTGTCGCCTGCCCGGCCCCCTTGGCGCGCGCGGCCTTGAGCGGCGCCTCCCGCCCGTGCGCGGGCGCGGGCCCCCACGAGGCGCCTCTGCCGCGCGCCGCTGCCAAATGCAGCTTGTTGAGAACTGCGTTGTTGCCTACAGTTGATGCCGCCGTGTGGCGCGCCAGGCCGCGCCGTTGCCCGATTAGGGGTGTTATCTGCCCAGCCCCCGTGCCTTGCCGTCCCATATTCTCAACCTCACACGCACTTGCTATCGCCCCATGACTTCGTGCGTGCGCGGGCGCGCGCCGTGTGACCCTCCCCTGCAGACTCTGGGCTTGCGCGCACGCCTGTTCGCGCGCCGCCGCGCCCCGCGGCGCGCCCGCCGGCCCCGCGCCTCGCGCGCGCCTGGCGCCTGCGGGCGCCGGCGCCTGGTCGGGCCAGTCCGGCCTGTGGCTTTCATGTGTCCTGCCCTTGTCGTGCGCGTATGCGCGCGCCCCATTGCGCTCTGCTCTTGTTGCACGTGCGTGCAAGCGCAAGCCCCACGCTGCCGCCCGTCGAGGGCCCTGCGCCCCAAGAGCCGCGCGGCGCTGGAGGGAGCGCCGAGGCCCGCCCTGGGGCTGGGCGTGTGTGCGTGGTCGAGCCCGCGCTGATGCGCGCGCCGCAGCCGCTGCTGCGGTCTGCTCTCGTGTGCGGCCCGTTGTATAAGTACGTGCGAGGTGCCCCCCGCCACAGTGAGATCTGGTGATCTGGAGATGATCTGGTATGCGAGCGGTCTGTTACGCGTGATCCGTGTGGAGCGAACAAATCCTGTGTGAGGGACATTATGGTGTGTCTGGCCCCCCTTGGCGTCGCGATTGCTGCTGGCGCCGAACGCGTTTTGAGCCGTGTGCCTCTGTCTGTGAGCTGTGTGTGCTGTGTCTCTGAACGGAGCCCTGTTGCGGCGCCGCATGCATAATCGAATCAATTGCACAGTATTGCCGAGCCGCGCCGCGTGCGAGGGCGGCCGGCCAAAGTCTCCGGTGGTGGCGCGCATCGCGCCGCGCGTTTTGATTTCCTTTGGCTAACAACTCTAAAACCACGGTGAGTGGTACTGAGCTTATATGAGCTGCATTTGCGCCGACCATCAGACAGCGCCAAACGCACGATGCCCCGGGCGCCCACTGACAGAGAGCGTCCCCTCGGGCGGGGCACCCCGCGGGCCCTCAGTTGAGTTGCTATTCGAGTTGCTGCGTTGAGTTGAGTTGAGGTGTGCCGCCGCCGCGCCCCTTTTGAGCCCGCGATCCCACCGTCCGACGTTGTACAGTGCTGTAACAGAGTGGCTTTTGAGACCGGCAGGGTGGGACGCACGGCCAGCGCTGGCCGAGGCAGGTGGCGGGGAAGCCTGCAGCACTGCGGCTATGGTCGGCGACAGAGATGGCGGGGCGATACCGGGAGGCGCTTCGGGGTTATGTGGTGCAAACAGCGGCGCAGCAGGACCAGGTACCTTGGGGGCCACGCACACAAAGCTGCACTGCCTATCCCATGCCACGTGCCTGGTCTGCTTCACTCAGACTGCAGTGCGCCGCGCGTTTGGCACGCTGCGGCCCCTTCTGGGCATGCTCAAACGTTTATTCTGATGGGGACGGCATCAAACTCTATGCTTAAACGCATTTCTCTTCTTGGCCAAATGAGTGGAACTCGTCGAAACTGCCGCAGCATACTGTACAATACCTTACAACAATACTTGGAACGAGTACAGAATCGAGTATAAGATCAAATACCACATTTTTGAGCTAAGGCGCAGCGCCGCAGGAGCTTCAAATCCGCGAGGGTCTTTAGGCGCAGCAGGCCAGCGCGCCGCGCAGAGCTGCACACCGGCCAGCAACGTCAGAGCACGTGCTACCATCACGTGTGCTGCCAGGATGCTAGCCCCGTGCCACACGCCGCGCTTGCGCCGCATGCGTGAGCTGCTGTGCACTCTGGGGGACGCCCCTGCGGGTGCAGCGGCGGCGGACGGCGCGGACGCAAGTGCGGCGCGCGGTGCCGATGGCGAGGCTGGTGGTGAGCCTGCCGCTTTTGGGGCGTTGCGCCTGGATAGGGAGACCAAGGTGAGCAAATAGTATCACCATACAACTCATCAACTGGTCAAGAGCTGCCACTACTATAACTTGAGGGCTATGGGTAGCATCAAATCTTGGGCTACCGCACAGAGGTGTGCGCCGCGCGTGCAGCGGACTGTGATGCCCCGACCTGCCCCGACGAAATGCGCCATCTGCACAGGTGCGTGTGAACGAACTCCTGCAGCGCAGCGCCGCCAAGGCATGGTGCAGCGTGCACGGAAAAGTGCTCGCGCCGCCGCGTCTGCACCCTGCTATTCTGCGCACAATCCGCGAGTGGTGAGCTCGCCGCGGCCTGGTTGAACGTCTGGCGTGTGCCTTCTTGCCCAGCCATGAATTTTGCGTGTCGTCTCATCACCGGTCAGCAGTGGGCTGTGTGTGTGTGTGTGTGGTCGCGTGCATGGCAGTACAAATCTAATACTTATGCATACAACAGCGGCGCCACTCGCCCGCGCGCATGTGCACACATGCACATGGGCACGCATGCACGCACGCACGCACGCACGCACACGCGCACACACACACACACACACACACACACACACACACACACACACACACACACACACACACACACACACACACACACACACAC